TTGAGCAGGCCGTAAAACCAGCGTAAAAGCGAGTTGAGCTATGTTCAACTTTCGACAGGATTACGACCGTAAAACGGTACCTTCAACCAATCAGAAGTCAGTGGAACTACGTCATCGCAACACGAAGCTAAAATGGCGGAAAACGAGCTTTTGTGTACGTGCCCTCGTGGCTACTGTAGAATAGATCCAGAAAGATATATCGAAAACATCCGAAAGTATTCGTGTATCTACGACAAGAGGTAACTCGATTATAATAATGGATATCAAAGGAAATCCTTCAATTTAGAGGCGTATATAATAAAAAAGCTAAGCTTATAAGTGCTGTATATTATCTTAATAATACGATAATAAAAGTTAGTATATGAAAGTAACGATATTATTTTTACTACATTTGTAATTATAGTACAGAAAATACTCGTAGAATATAATCGTTGTCTTTATATCGATATATCACGTAAACAACCATCTTCCGTTTCTACCAATTCACGTGCGAAGAAGTATTTACTTTCGACACTTGGAGCAGCACCGTCGCCGTAAAAACTTCGCGCTAGCCGGACCTCCACCGTAATCCGAGCGCAAACGCAAATAGGTCACGTGATTAAAAGCTTTTACGGCGAGGGGATTTTACGCCGTTTTTACGGTAGTGGAGTCCTAGCCTAAGAGTGTGAACGTTACGTAAAAAAATTTCATTTTAATTCAACAAAACTACTTTTTAGAAAAAATAAGTAAATTAAAAAAAAAACGAAATCACAGCATTAATATCGCTGCGTAAATAAGAATTATTTTCATCTGAAATAACTATATATATGGGTCGGCGCCTTGTCAGGACTGACACCACCGATTGACACGGAAGCCGAGACGGCGCGGCGTGTTGATTCGGTACTAGAACGTTGGTCACGCACGCGAGCGGCCGCGTGTGCGGGCGATCGGATTCGGAATGGAGGAGGTTTGAGAGACGGCATACCGGAAGTGAATCACTCGGATGCCAGGTTAACTAAACAACCGTTTATTTGTAAAGGAAAATACATTGTACACAATTTATAGCGTTAACGAGTTATAATAAATCGAATTAAAACAGGTCTATATATTTTTGTGGTTCTCGAGAGAGAGCGTTTATGGTAGTTCGCGAATTGATAAATACCTGGAGTAGAGGATGTCCACAGGGTGATGATTTCGTTGAGATTTTCTTTGCGACTAAGGAGTCCGTTATCGTTCTGGAAGTGCTTCAGAAAGTTCTCGATCGGAAAGTCTGGGTGAAGAAAGCCGGGAAGGTTCGTCTCCACTGGAGCCGTTGATCGAGGGTGAAATCCGATCGCGTAAAATTTGGCAGAGGCAAAGAAAAATTTTTGAAGACTTTAATCCGAGAGGAACGAGCGACGACTGACTCTTCGGCTGTCAATTTCGATATCAGCACGATATCGCCCGGCTAAGAGGTCAGCAGATCACGGGAATGCGTCGTTTTCGCTATCGAGAAAGTGTAAGTGGAGATTTCCTCAGGTAGTAGATTCGACAACAATTACCGAATAAGTATTGGATTTTCACATATAGAAATAGAATTAGGAAATGATTTAAAGCATATATGATTACTATCATATATCAAATGCTATATAATTTTACCAAAGTTAATTATTTAAAAGTAATTTTCACTAAATTCCATATTGAAATATGTTGTTGTTATTATTATTATTATTATTAGGCCTATTATTATCGACCCATCTCGATTATACTATAAGATTCCGAAACCAATAGTTTTATTAATCGCTAAGTGTAAAGTAATTAATAATTAATAGCGTAACAAATGCTGGATTTATCATTTATAGTGTAATTAATACGGAATAATAATAGTGTGAGAATCCGAACTCACTACGTAACTTCTTAATAACAACATAACTAAATCACAACATCACGTGTTGACAATATAACTTTGTCGAATAACTCAACTTTCACACCTGAGAGCAGGTCGTCTTTTCAGTTCTTTGAAAGTGACACTTTCTCGTAACCTCCCGACCTGCAATCTCGATTTCATTATTTAATATAACAAATAAGGAACAGTCGAGACAGTGGTCGCCAGTACCTCAACGGAATATCATCTCCTGCCAATAACAGAATATTATCTCTTCCGATAAAGAAATATCATCTCCTCTAGTTCGTCTCCGTCACGTCTTCCGGTTCCGGAAATTTCCAATTCCTATCCCGGATAGAACTTTCCACACTTCGAATTGTTTCTGGTGTGCTCCGAACTCTTCTGTGTAAAATACTCTAAAGACGATCGAACGATCATCTCATCTACAAGCGGCTCTCTTTTCATTCCAGATATTTATGACAAGGCGCGATTTCATGTAAACTCTTACTCTCGCGAAAAGCGACGGTATCTATACCTAGTTTAGTTTGTTATATTATAACCCGTTAACGAAATAGTATATACGTAGGGGAACAGGGAACCCGGGGCAAAATGGGGTAACTAACGAAGAAGTTAAAATTATGTCAACAATAAAAGAAAAATAACAAAAATATTACATTATATATATCTTTTATTTATTATATTTGGCACATAATTATTTAAATTAGATTAAAAAAAATCAACTTTGTATGAAAAATAAATGATTAAAAAAAGCTTGTCCACATACCGTTCCGCCCCGCACTCGGACAGAATGGTGTATGAGATTAGTGCTCAAATATTAGAAAAAAAATATTAGTCTTGTTGCTTAACTCGCAAACCAGCACGGAATCGTCATCGTCACAGTCAAAACCAGCAAAAGATATATGAGCCCATTTTTTGCATGCGACAAATGAACACCAACCCTCAATCGACTGTAAGCCTCGGTGCAGTAAAGGAAAGTCGTATTATCTTCTCCTTCCGAGTAATCGTCCCCTTGTTCTTCTTTTTTACTAGACTTTGTTTTTTCTCTTTTCCTTTACAGGAAACCGTCCCATTGTGCCCCACCCGTTGTGCCCCAAAGCACATACTTCTAAAAATCAAGTAGAGAAAAACGTTTATGATTNACAACGTAAAAACCCCTCGACGTAAAAGCTTTTAACCACGTGACCCTGATATCTTACGCTTGAGCAGGCCGTAAAACCAGCGTAAAAGCGAGTTGAGCTATGTTCAACTTTCGACAGGATTACGACCGTAAAACGGTACCTTCAACCAATCAGAAGTCAGTGGAACTACGTCATCGCAACACGAAGCTAAAATGGCGGAAAACGAGCTTTTGTGTACGTGCCCTCGTGGCTACTGTAGAATAGATCCAGAAAGATATATCGAAAACATCCGAAAGTATTCGTGTATCTACGACAAGAGGTAACTCGATTATAATAATGGATATCAAAGGAAATCCTTCAATTTAGAGGCGTATATAATAAAAAAGCTAAGCTTATAAGTGCTGTATATTATCTTAATAATACGATAATAAAAGTTAGTATATGAAAGTAACGATATTATTTTTACTACATTTGTAATTATAGTACAGAAAATACTCGTAGAATATAATCGTTGTCTTTATATCGATATATCACGTAAACAACCATCTTCCGTTTCTACCAATTCACGTGCGAAGAAGTATTTACTTTCGACACTTGGAGCAGCACCGTCGCCGTAAAAACTTCGCGCTAGCCGGACCTCCACCGTAATCCGAGCGCAAACGCAAATAGGTCACGTGATTAAAAGCTTTTACGGCGAGGGGATTTTACGCCGTTTTTACGGTAGTGGAGTCCTAGCCTAAGAGTGTGAACGTTACGTAAAAAAATTTCATTTTAATTCAACAAAACTACTTTTTAGAAAAAATAAGTAAATTAAAAAAAAACGAAATCACAGCATTAATATCGCTGCGTAAATAAGAATTATTTTCATCTGAAATAACTATATATATGGGTCGGCGCCTTGTCAGGACTGACACCACCGATTGACACGGAAGCCGAGACGGCGCGGCGTGTTGATTCGGTACTAGAACGTTGGTCACGCACGCGAGCGGCCGCGTGTGCGGGCGATCGGATTCGGAATGGAGGAGGTTTGAGAGACGGCATACCGGAAGTGAATCACTCGGATGCCAGGTTAACTAAACAACCGTTTATTTGTAAAGGAAAATACATTGTACACAATTTATAGCGTTAACGAGTTATAATAAATCGAATTAAAACAGGTCTATATATTTTTGTGGTTCTCGAGAGAGAGCGTTTATGGTAGTTCGCGAATTGATAAATACCTGGAGTAGAGGATGTCCACAGGGTGATGATTTCGTTGAGATTTTCTTTGCGACTAAGGAGTCCGTTATCGTTCTGGAAGTGCTTCAGAAAGTTCTCGATCGGAAAGTCTGGGTGAAGAAAGCCGGGAAGGTTCGTCTCCACTGGAGCCGTTGATCGAGAGTGAAATCCGATCGCGTAAAATTTGGCAGAGGCAAAGAAAAATTTTTGAAGACTTTAATCCGAGAGGAACGAGCGACGACTGACTCTTCGGCTGTCAATTTCGATATCAGCACGATATCGCCCGGCTAAGAGGTCAGCAGATCACGGGAATGCGTCGTTTTCGCTATCGAGAAAGTGTAAGTGGAGATTTCCTCAGGTAGTAGATTCGACAACAATTACCGAATAAGTATTGGATTTTCACATATAGAAATAGAATTAGGAAATGATTTAAAGCATATATGATTACTACCATATATCAAATGCTATATAATTTTACCAAAGTTAATTATTTAAAAGTAATTTTCACTAAATTCCATATTGAAATATGTTGTTGTTATTATTATTATTATTATTATTAGGCCTATTATTATCGACCCATCTCGATTATACTATAAGATTCCGAAACCAATAGTTTTATTAATCGCTAAGTGTAAAGTAATTAATAATTAATAGCGTAACAAATGCTGGATTTATCATTTATAGTGTAATTAATACGGAATAATAATAGTGTGAGAATCCGAACTCACTACGTAACTTCTTAATAACAACATAACTAAATCACAACATCACGTGTTGACAATATAACTTTGTCGAATAACTCAACTTTCACACCTGAGAGCAGGTCGTCTTTTCAGTTCTTTGAAAGTGACACTTTCTCGTAACCTCCCGACCTGCAATCTCGATTTCATTATTTAATATAACAAATAAGGAACAGTCGAGACAGTGGTCGCCAGTACCTCAACGGAATATCATCTCCTGCCAATAACAGAATATTATCTCTTCCGATAAAGAAATATCATCTCCTCTAGTTCGTCTCCGTCACGTCTTCCGGTTCCGGAAATTTCCAATTCCTATCCCGGATAGAACTTTCCACACTTCGAATTGTTTCTGGTGTGCTCCGAACTCTTCTGTGTAAAATACTCTAAAGACGATCGAACGATCATCTCATCTACAAGCGGCTCTCTTTTCATTCCAGATATTTATGACAAGGCGCGATTTCATGTAAACTCTTACTCTCGCGAAAAGCGACGGTATCTATACCTAGTTTAGTTTGTTATATTATAACCCGTTAACGAAATAGTATATACGTAGGGGAACAGGGAACCCGGGGCAAAATGGGGTAACTAACGAAGAAGTTAAAATTATGTCAACAATAAAAGAAAAATANTAGTCAGATGTACTTAAGCTGCTATAAAGTTATGAGGAAGTGGGCCAAATACAACGAAAAATATAAAAAGCAGCGGGGAAAGGTATCTTTAAAGGTAAGTTCAATATAGAAGAACCTGGGCGGAATGGGGTAGATAACGAAGAAGTTAAAATTATGTCAACAATAAAAGAAAAATAACAAAAATATTACATTATATCTTTTATTTATTATATTTGGCACATAATTATTTAAATTAGATTTTAAAAAATCAACTTTGTATGAAAAATAAATGATTAAAAAAAGCTTGTCCACATACCGTTCCGCCCCGCACTCGGACAGAATGGTGTATGAGATTAGTGCTCAAATATTAGAAAAAAAATATTAGTCTTGTTGCTTAACTCGCAAACCAGCACGGAATCGTCATCGTCACAGTCAAAACCAGCAAAAGATATATGAGCCCATTTTTTGCATGCGACAAATGAACACCAACCCTCAATCGACTGTAAGCCTCGGTGCAGTAAAGGAAAGTCGTATTATCTTCTCCTTCCGAGTAATCGTCCCCTTGTTCTTCTTTTTTACTAGACTTTGTTTTTTCTCTTTTCCTTTACAGGAAACCGTCCCATTGTGCCCCACCCGTTGTGCCCCAAAGCACATACTTCTAAAAATCAAGTAGAGAAAAACGTTTATGATTACTTTTTGCGTTATTTCATTCTAAAAATACAAACAAATCTTTAATAAACTAGACTATATAAATTTGAAAATTATAAAATATACCATATACTTTCATTGTTTTAATGTTAATACACTTTCAAATCCAAAACAAACTCGCCGTGTCTCATTCGTTGACACGGTGGGGTCAGTCCTGATGAGGCATCAAAGAGGTGCCGACCTTCCGGTCACAATAGCGAATAACGACCTATATTGATATGGCTCTGAAGATTTTTACATTATTAGACTCAGGAAATCTTGAAACGTCGAGAAATGCAGAAAATTAGGATTTATTTCTGTATCTCTGTTCTCTTCTGTAAGACCAGAAGAGACAGGACAAGGAATGAAGAAATAAGGGCAACAACAGGAATGAAAAATGTGGAGGAGAAAATAAAACAAATTAGTATAAGATAGCTCGGATACACCAAGAGAATAGAAGAAAATAGAATACCGAAGTTGGTATTGGAGAAGGACATAGAGAAGAGAAGACCCTAGGAGAAGACCCTGTAATAGGTAGATGGACAAGATAGCTGAAGACCTAAGAAAAAGGACTGACAATGTATCAGTGGTGTTTGTAGAGGAGTGGTGGAAAGATAGAAAGAGATGGAGGTCATCGGTCCATGGCCCAACCCGGTCTTCCTGGATTAAGAGTAAACAAGAAGAAGTCGTATGTTTTTCAGTGGGTAAAAATTCTGTGACCCAGAAAATATATCCAATAAAAGCTTGCAAAATTCATAAATACAAAAGGAAACATATATCTGGACACATTATCGTAAGGATTTACGTACTTTGAGTGAATCAGAGTGTTCTTTATATCCTTCATGTGTGATAACATTACCCAAATTATTCCCGATTTCTTTTTCTTCGGATGGGAATCTATCGAATGAACTTGAATTTCTTTTTTCTGAAAAATAAATAAGAATTTAAATTAGAAATATAAATTTTTATTTCTGAATATTTTAATATAATGTATACAGCAAAAACTATCGATAGAATTATGTCATATAGTGTTTTACATATTTACAAATAGAGAAATTCCAGGATCTTCAATTATAACAAATTTTTGCATAGTGAAGAGGGATAGAACAAAGTACTTGAAGTACGTACTATTATTATAGATTTTATTAGAATAAAGAACTTTACTTATTGGGCTGCAATTAAAAAATTGCAGCCCAATAAGTAAAGTTCTTGATAAATTCCCACACTGACGCTAGTGGGAATTTATATAAGTTAAAATAAATTCCCACTAGCGTCAGTGTGTCTGCCCTTCCATTATCTCAAGAATAGAATTAGATAGTTGAAAGTCGAGAAGAGACACTTAAGAGAGAAGCTTAAGAGACAGAGGCATATTATGTCGTATTCTATAAATTTCCGGGTTATATTGTCGTAATTGGAATTCTTGAACGTTATGATGGATTTAAATTGTTTCGTGTAACCTCTAGTGTGCTGCGAAATTCGCAATACTTTGCGCAGCATGGATATGACGTCAAACTGGGCATTTTCCTGAACATCAGTTGCTACGCGAAAGAACTTAAATCCATTTTTATCAGGGTATCATCATTGGTTAGTTTTATTTTCCACGCTGTTATACTGCAACATAATAGGAGAAAGTATTGTAATCTTATATAATTTAATTCACTAGGTGTTTTGGAAACATCGATGTTTTCAGGCGCACTGAACTCAAAAGTTAAAAATAGAAAAAAAAAAATGGAAATATTCTCTGGATATCTGTGTTTGAGCTTCCTTCGTTGCGTTCGTGTGTGCAGGTGTCTATTTCGTTTAATATCTCAGGATAAGGATTAAGAAACGAAATTTGGCATGTAAACTCTGTGTAAAAGAAGTATTGATAGTATTAAGAAGTATTAAAGTTTACAATAGGAAACTCAAGGAGGTGAGGAGATAAAGGTGGATCACGTATGACATCCAGAGACATGTGCTTACGTGACGCGCACACACAGTAATCTTATCTATCGCTACTCTGTACTGTTACATTAGAGAGGTTGAGGCAGACGTTTTAAACGTGTAAACGTGTAGGACGGACGTTCAGTGCCGCTTTCCCGTAAGCCTAGAAGTTTGACGATGGTGTTTGGAATGTCGAGCGTGATTCCACCGACTATCCAAACACCATTGTCAAACTTTTAGGCTTACGGGAAAGCGGCGCCGAACGTCCGACCTACACGTTTACACGTTTAAAACGTCTGCCTGAACCTCTGTATTTACGCCAGAAACAGGGGTTCCGTTGCTCCACGTGTTTTAAAAAAAGCCGTTCGTTTCCTCTGACGATTTTCATACCCATTATAGACGTCCTGATATATGAAGTGAAGGGTTATCCTTTTGTTTCACAGGAAATAATTTCGGAAATTTACGTCATACTTTTCTATATCTTCAAATAAGTAATGAAACTTTCCCATAAATTGTTTGTACTAACGTAACATTAATATCTTGCATCGGATAGCTCTTTTCTAGTTTAATGCCAAAATTAACAACTGGTGAGATGAGTTATCTCACCAGTTGTTAATTTTGGCCGTTTCGCCATGTGAATAGTAGTGATAAGCTATGAATTATGGCGTACTGTATATCGACCGCTTCCGGCGATATCACGAAGGAATTTATACAGCATTATACTATAGCGGCCAGTGTGAGCTTAACCCACTATATTAGCGCGGTACACTTATAATCAATACATTTCATTACTTCGATAATATACAGAATGGGCTAAAGCGCAATCTATTTCCAATTCTTATCTGTATTTTAACCGTGTCATTTCTTAAATTATATTCTGAGATAACATGAAGAGTACTTGACACTGGACTTTTTCACATTCAGTTTATTTTCTTATGTACTTGTACTTTACAGTCTAATTGTTTCAAATGCCAATTTGCATTTCGTACTAGTGCCCTTCATCCAATTATTTATTTTAATTCTTAAAGTGTTAATAAGTTTATTATTATATATTAATAAAAATTTAAGTATTAAAATAAATTATAGTTGGATAAAATTATTATAAAATAGAATAAATAAATATGCAAATTGAAAATGTGTCGACGCGTATATGCAGATTACCGTATTTTGACTAGTATAAGTCGCTGTCAAGTATAAGACGCACCCCTATTTTGAGACAAAAAATTTAGAAAGAAACTTTTTTTAATGGGATTGTCTAAAAATGCATTTTATTCGTTTTTTTTATTCAAGAATATGACAGATGGATGAATCGATACCTTTATTAAACTGAAATAATCGTCATTTCTTAATGTAAACTCAGATGTCACGTGATGATAGTCGACAGAACATGGCGGCGATGACTCGTGTGTCGCTACTCTGATAATCTAGATACTCTAGCCATTCGGTTGAGGGACCATCTGCTTAACGGACCACTGCACAGGTTGGTCCCTAGAGTGAACCACTACTGTAGATAATTTCACTGTAAAAGTGGTTACCTGTCGAGTATAAGACGCACCATGATTTTGAGCCCCGAAAAGTAGTAAAAAAAGTGCGACTTATACTCGTCAAAATACGGTAATTAACGTGAAAGTGAAGTTTGTGGAGTGATTCGCAGAGTGCTAAACTTGTGTTATGCAGTATTTGACTACTGTCTGATGATATGTGCAATATTGTTGGTACTGTACGAAATGTAATATTATATAACACTAATTTATTCTTTATTTCATTTTTATCCGTTTTTATATTGTCCTGGTTGGTTGTTCAAATTTTTATTTTATTATACCTACGGTGACCATACGTCCTTTATTTAAGAGGACAGTCTTTTAACTTTATTTATTTTCTAAAATAGGCATTCTGTCCTTTATTTTTATAAAGTCGACGCAGTTTAAATTTTTTTTTAATAATATATTGAACAAGTTAGTTTCGTGTGCGCCATCATGACCAGTGTTGTCATCGTGTCGTGCATTGCTACATAGAGCGCGGTAGTGCAGTGTGTCGCCAACCGACGGCCCATTGACAGTACCAGAAGTAGACACTCTTATGGGGATTTTTGTGGTAGTTTTTTAACTCTCTAGTTGGTGGATGCTATACTTGGAGCGTTGGTGAGCATTCGTTGCCACTTGTTGGCAATCTTCGGCGGCTGGAGCATGTGACATTTTTACGGTTGATTGTCCCTTCTCTTTATAGTACACTCCTTTTCTCTGTACAATACACACGTGGACCTCGCATCAGTTACTACACTTTTACGCAGCGTTAATTAGTTACACAGGGACTGCATGTGAGTTTTCAGTCTATTATTTCTAATTTTTCGTATTTAGGTATTACAGTCGACCCCCCTATAAGATGGTAGATACGTTCCGTTTTTTATGAAATTGATGTTTTAGGAGACCTTGCCAACCACAGCCCGACACGTGCGAAGTTTACGGCTGTTTGAAATGTTTTCTTCCATAAAATTAATCGATTCCTAGACTAATTCGACTCAACATTTCCAAAACACGTATAATTTTTTGGGAATAATCCGTATAAACTACGCTATAAACAAAAAATTGTAGGATTACTTACCGAGTGTGCACCGTTCGACGTCGCCATTGCTTAAGCTTGTTTTCGTCCGGAGCAGCGCACCAAACGGCGGGCGCGATTTCTGATAAGTTATTTTTCTGCGAAAACTTCGTTGAACTTTGGAGACATCATTAATATAAATAATTTTTATGGCCGTTGAATAAGAAATGTTTCTTTTACAAGAAATGTATAAAATTAGTGCTGTATTAGACTTACGGTACCTAATTTACATACTGTACAGACGATAGTAAACTCAATTTACCCGCCTAAACTCTCTGTAGCGTAGCGTTGGACGGCGGAAAGTAGTTCGGCTGCCCGATGACGAATTATAGGAGTTTTTTTACCATGTTTGTACGGATACCGTCGCAAATTTTTTCCGTCATATAGGGATCCGAACTATAGGAACCCGTGTTATAGGGGGGTCGACTGTATTTAATTTATATTTTGTAGACCACTTATCATGGCACCGAAAAGAAATTGCATTTTTAATCAAACATTACAAGAAGAATTTCCATTTATACCCTTCATTCCGCCTTCATTTATAATTATGCCTGTATATATGATCATTCGCGAGATATAGGCTTATCTGATGTGGCATGATTAACCTTTTCGTTTTCAATTATTTTCCATGTTATGGGGGGGACACATCTCAATTACATATAAAGTCATCCGCATTTTTAATTGGAAAATTTAGTTTTAATATATTTTCAAATATTTAAAAAAAAAATTTTCAACTTATACAAAACTGAGAAGCTAAAGTCAACAATCTGTCTTTTTTCCACCAGACTTGTGTGTTTTTAGTTGTATGTTTAATTTGGCGTTGTAGTAATCTGGATATTTATTATAATTTGTTTTATTTATCTATTTTATCTGTTATTTATTAATCAATTCTAGTTTTTAATTCTACTCCTATAACTTCTATTAGATATATTGGTAACATTCTAAGTTTACTATTGTTATCTAACACTAGTTGTCTATTTAACACCTCAGTAACAAAAATAATCTGTTTAGATTTATCAGCTTTTGTGATTTTTAATTATTATTTTTCTAGGACACTATTCAATACTTTAATTTTATTATTATTTCTTAGGTAATATTTTTCTCTAATCTTTCTTTTTCCTTTATTTTTGAAGTGTAAGATTTTACTATATTATTAACTTCCATTTTTAAATAGTCCAGTTCTCTATCTAATAACTTGTATTATTACACATTACATCTAATTTTGGTATTACGTCTATTACGTCCCATTGGCTACACCCATTAAAATCTAATCCTTCATAGAGGATTTCTTTGATTTCATTAAGTATTTCTATATTTTCTTATTAATTAACTATTAGTTCATTTTTTTCCTTTTTACGATTTCTTTTAATGTTATATATCGTAAATTTTTGTTTACTTTACATTACTTATTACGTTTATTTTTTTCTATTTTCTTTTCCATACTTCTTCTAGAGCGTTATCTTGTTTTATATGTAATCGTTTTACTTTCCTTTTTATTATTCTAATTTTTATATATTTAAATTTAATTACTTCCTTTAGTATAATGTGGTTTATTTTCTCTTTCTCTCTGTACGGTATTATTTTGGAAACTCGTATTGGCATTTGGAACAATTAGACTGAAAGTACATAAGAAAGTATTGATAAAAATAAAATATAACTATTTCTAATTCGTTAAAGTACTAATGCTGCACACAGGAAACTTCTAAAAGTATTATAATAGTAAATTTTTTATAAATAAATTATTATTTTTTTAATTTTCCCTGTTTATTTATGAATTAGAATAATTTTTTACAGTAAATATTTTGTTAGGCACAACTAATATTATCTTATTACGCTACATTAACACTCAGATTTAAAAGAATCTGTTGTGTATGTCAACCTTTTTTAATATCATTTATTACAGGTAATAAAATGATTTGAACGTACAGTACCTCTTTCATTTTGATGGCGGCTTGGTAAGCTAGAGCATATTCCAGTAAAGATAAAAATATCAAAACGATGCAGAATATAAACCAAATATCCAGAGCCTTCAAATAATCCACAGGAGGCACGAAGCTTCTGGACTGGACCAAATGAGTGACTAAAGTCAGGATTGAAGTCACACCCAAAGTTACTCGTGCTGGTGCTGCGTGAACATCGATCCAAAATGAGAGCCATGATAGCATGACCACTAATGTACTAGGGATGTAAACATTCATCATGTTACCGGTCAAACGTCGTTTAAATTTAAATTCGGCAATTAACATAGTGTAGTTACCTGAAATATTTACAAACGGATTCATGATAGCAATCGTGCATTTTTTATTCTTGTCAGACTTTGATTAACAATTATTAGCAAATACCAAGGCTATTTGTTACAGGATTAGTTTGTTTAAAAAAGGATACCCAAGAAACACGTACCGCTCAACCATCGTTGAGTCTCCTTCTTAGCTTTAATTTCGTCCATCTCGTATGATAATAAATTTATACTTCTAATTTGTATGCTTTTACCGAGATTTTTGTAAGGGCTATTTTCTTCTCCCATCCATTTCGGCAAGGCTCCTTTATCTGTATGTCCAACTAAAATAGAAATATAAATTATATAAAAATATAGAAAAAATCGTTATGTACGAAAGTGATTAAAGACGAGGATGACCTTATGAATCATTTATGCATTTAGATTTAGCTGTGACGAACGAATATAATCGGCATATAAAGGTGACGATTTATACGAAATTCAAATCGAGTTATACGTTTTCGATGAATAATTATCCTTCTTTTTCTACATTTAGATCTGTGCAGAAGGTGTGTAAAATGGCAAAAAGTGGAGAATGCGAGTACGTTCTGTTCGAGTAAGGATCTCTTTGCTTCCATCTATTTATCGAGAATAAGATCTGCTCTATGATTTGCTATAAATCATTTACTGAATTTTGGCCGAGTTGGCTAATTGTAATTGTCTAAGGCAACTTTTTTGTATTCTACACCAGCGGTCCCCAACCTTTTTATCGCCGCGGACCTGTCAAAGTTTGATAATTTTACCGCGGCCCACTGAGGGGGGACGTTGATCGTTTATATTTTAGATTGACTTAATTTAATAATTTTAATTTAATTGTATTTAAACATGCCTTCAAAATAAAATACAGTTACACCAAAAAATGAATATAATGTGATTTAACATTTTAATTCACTAGAACGCTAAATCAATGAGAACCCTGAGCTTGTTTCATTGCAAGGAGACGGTTCCCTCTAGGGGTAATAGGAGACAATGACACCCGAAGTGTGTTTCTTACGTCCAGTTTATTCTGTTGTTCCGTCGTCCATTAAAAGTCGCACAAACCCGAGGAAATACACCATAGTAAATAAAATGGAAATAATTTAATGTTCCTTGGGCGGCCCGGTACCGTTTGATCCACGGACCGGTACCGGTCCGCGGCCCGGGGGTTGGGGACCACTGTTCTACACCAAACACTTAGGAGATTTTACTGTCTCAGTTTTTAAATTGACACAATTTCTGATCACGATTTCATAATAACCAGCTATTAATGGCTGGACAACAGAAAAACTGGAAATATTTATGTACGGTATTAGCGCGTAAATGTATTACATTTTGATGCGATTGAGATCGTACCTACAAAAACCCATGTTTTTAGGATATCGGGCATACATAGCCTGTATATTCTTGTCCAAGTACTCACAACAACACATCCTGGGACACAGCGAAAGCAATAGTATAAATGAATGTAGAAATTAAATTATCCAGTAATCTTACGTGATTACAAGGACAGAAACATGATAAAATAATCGAATTAACAATGACACATTTGATATTGGCCTATACATGACACGTGGCAGTATGCAATTAATTGCGGTAAGCTGTATCATTTGGCAAAATTTGAATATTTTATATAAAAATTTGAATATTTTATAGGAAAATCTTGATTATTTTCTTTTTATTTTCACAGAATTTGGAAGAAATTCAGAGATTTTCATCTCTATATTCTGTACATAGTTCTTTTCTTTATTTTTCTTTGTTATTTATTCGTTTTTTATTGTATTTTCCTTTAATAATCGTATTTATTCTTAAATTGTTCTTCATTTAATATTTATTTGTTTTCGTCGTTCGTTGTACATTTAAAAATGTTCAAAAAATAACAGAAAAATATCATATAGTTTAAAAATTAATAAATAAAATCTAAAATTTTCCTAAAAAGTAAAGTTTTAAAATTACAAAAATAATTTTCAATTTGTAAGTAAAAATTAAAATACTGTTTTGATTTTTCATTCACTTACTTTTTAGATATGTTTTTTTTTCTAAAAATCATCGATGACCTGAATCCTTCTCCTGATTTTGACATTCCGATTACGTCAATACCAATTTGGATTATGACTTCTCAATTTTGACTTTGTCCCGGCTGTGCCTCATTACTATTGTTTTTTTAGTGAATTATCACTTTTCCAAATTGGTCTACACGAATTTGGACTCTCCCGAATTACGTCTACCCCAAATTTGACTCCTAAAACGTGTCTGCACTCGAATTTGGACTTTTCCGGCTTGTGTCTGTGCTGAAATTTAACTCCCAATTTGTGTCATCCCTGGAACTTAGACTCTCCGGAATTGTGTTATTACTGGAATTTGAATTTTCTCAAATTGTGCCCATTGTTTGTGACGTCGTCTAAATTCAACGGAAGTCCGTTGAACGTGAAAAACACGAAAAGACGAAATTTTCATACACAAAACAGAAGAAATCTTTATAAAATTCTTTGCGAAGAACGAAAGTTTGCAGATAAAAATTGCATTAAACGAAATGTTTTACGAAACTGTAAGTGGAATTATTAATAGGAAATTGCAAACTTGAATAAATGTCGTTAAGTATTGTTTGTCGCTTCTAGGATAGTGAAGATTTATGATGAAAATGCATTGGGGAGAACTCAAAAACCTGAGACGGTTGCGAAAAAATTTGATTCAATTAAAGTCATATAAGAAGACGTTCTCTGCAATGCTTTAGTTTTTGTTCTAGAATTTGTAAATTTTCGTACGAAAATAGTTTGTTGAATGATATAAGTGTAATTATAAATAATTGTCTCTATAATAAAGTCTTCTGTTTGGTTTGGCATCAAATTATTTCCAAATCACATAAAATTATTACCTTTTAAATTGTTCTAAACTGTTTTCAACCGGTTTTTACGGTAATAAATCAAGATATAACTGTTCGAATTAATCATTGATTTTTACATCACGCTATAGGAGAAATCTTTGAATTGCTGGCACTGCATCTGCTAATGTGTACATATCGTTTACTTTTACCTTCGAATCAATGGAAACGTTTGACTTTGTTCGGTGCCGCCGTTAGAGCCGGGCAACGGACCCCGTGCATAAAGTGCCCGCCCTTCGGGAGTTTAGTTTTTGATTTTTAAGCTTTTCGCTTTAATATGACGTAGTGCTCCGCAGGAAATGCATTAAACCACATTAGCTTCTCTGTATCACGTTTAAGCATTTATAGCGCAGAAAATGGTAAAAAAATTCTTCTTGTGTTCGAAGGTGTCGGATGGAGAAAACGAGAACGTTTATTTGATTACGAAGGAACGGATAGGCGTACAAATAATCTCGAAACAAAGTTCCATAGGAACTATTGTGTTTAGCAATAATATACCAAGGAATAATTGTACTTTTTGAAGAGAAAACGCCATTTTTGGTTGCCTTTACAACATTTTTATATTAACATTGTATTTCCTGAATTACAAAATTCGGTAAACTGACTAGTTTATATACAAAAATGTAAGCTATTTAAAAAGTTCAGCAAACTTTCCTGGCTGATTGAGATTTTATTTAAAAACTGAATTTTATATTTATATATAAACATTTAAAAGCCCGATATTTATAATTATTTTTGGATTAAATCGGGCGTAACGCCTATCTCTACTGCAAAATAACTCAGTATTTAATTATCAATGGTAGCGATAATGTAGCTCGATTTAATTCAATTCGTTTGGCTTTAAATTTCATATTATTGGTCATCTATATATATAATCGAGACGGGTTGATGATGATGGTAATCAGCTCAGAGCCCAAACGGTTAGGAGTTGAAATTTGGTGCACATTTAGGGTTCTTCACGAGAACGTACACTAAGAAGGGATTTTTCGAAATTCCCTCCCGGGGGAGAGGGACAGGATTAAGGTTTTAACAATGGAAGTGTCAAGAGAAAGTAACGTGCAAGATTTACAGGCGCAGATGCGGTTTTTGCGGAAATCGAACATTTTTTAACCCATCTAAAAATTCTCTAATTGGTCTGGAAACAGGCGGACCTAATTCTTGCATTCTTTGAAAACGGGTAAGATTGACTATAACGTAATAATCGTAATCTTCGCTATCGTTACTTTTTGCCCGAGTAACGCCGGACCTAACTGCTAGTGATAAATAAAATTGATTGTGGAGTCATCTCTTATGAGATTTTATAATATCAATAATTTAAAATACTAGAAATGTTTATTATAAAACGGCAAAACGTTTAATTTTGAGGGAAGGGGTGAGTTTTATAAAAAGTTGTAAACGCTAAAAATGATTAAAATTTTTATTTACTTTGATTAACTCTGACCCCATTCGAGATGCGACATGTGCCACCCTCTATCTCTCCACCCCTCGACTTTCTATCATCAAAATTTAATATCAATTATCACTCCTTATGCACAAGTTACAACGACAAATTACGTTCGTCAATTTGCAAAACACCCGGACCGTCAAGTTTGACAGAATTTCAATATTTTTCCATAACAGTCGGAAAAGTAAAATTAATTTTAAATATGTAAATATTTTTAATTATTTGAAAATAAGGGTGAATGACTTACCTACACCAAGTAAAAACTGACAAATCTGAACATCAATGGGATAATCATGCAATTTCATAGGGCAGTCAACTAAAAAATTCATTCTGAAAATGAAAATATTATGGTTTTAATATCGTATTTTATAATTGAAATTGTTAAATACTGTATGTTACGGCATATATGACGAGACTTTTACCCAAAAAACTCTCAATGGATTGTTATGTTTCCACGTTTCCAATACAGTATGTCATGTTGCCCTCTCACATAGATTAAATGAATATAGCATATGGCCTTGGGTAGCCTACATGTAACATCTATGCTGCCAACTCTGGAATAAGAAATCTAGCAACAAATTACTTAACTTTACTGTTAAGAGATTTTATTTTAAAGTCATTTTTGTATTATTAATCATAATAAATAAGTTGTGAAATAGTAAATAACTGTTATGATATTTTGTTATAAAAATTTTCTATATTTTTAATTATTGTAAAATGGTGAAACGCTTAACTTTGAGGGTACAGATGAGTTTTGTAAAAGAAAATTTCAAATGATGATAACGAATAAAATCCTCAATTATTCCTTCTCTCTAGATATGTCATATGACCGCATGCTATCTTTTCACCCCTTGTCTTTTAACCACCAAACTTAGGTTAATGGTATCAATGCCCTTCATATACGAGCCAATATGCCAAATTTTGTTTCTTAATCTTAACCGCATCCTGAGATATTGAGCAGAACAGATACCAACATACACGCACATACATATTTACGGAATCTTTTGACTTTTTTGGGTTCAGGAGGTCTCAAAACGTGGAAATTTACAAATAACTCGGAAGATCAAATTTGACACGATTCCAATACTTTCCCTTGTTACGTATACATAACACTCAAATTGTGGTTGAATATCAAAGGCGAAGGACAACTTTAATATACTAAATAATTTTTCCTAAATGTCCTGGTCTGAAATGGGGATGCGTCTTATATGCCGTACAATACGGTAATTCACACTTTCTATAAATTGCTACTTTTTAAATACCTGACAGCCCCAAATAGAGATTTGTCTGGAAGAACTTTTACAGAAGTGATTTTCGAAGAGTCATAAAATTTTTCAATCATTTTGGTATTAGGAAATCCAAATTTTGGTTTCCAGATATTTTTCGTTAATTTATTAGGAAACATCACCGGATATTGGGAAACTAATGTGTTTAAATTTAATCTCGGATCCTTCCACACTGCAATTATTCCCAAAATCAGACGGAAATCCTGAAAAAGTTATAAATATTTTAATTACTTTAAGCATCATTTCTCATCCTAAACTGAAAAATTTGAAAAGCTTGAAAATTATCAAAGAAAGTATAATGATATTTAAAACGTGCATTATATATCTTACATAATCTTCATTTATAAATATAATTATTCTTATTAATAAAACAGAACTGAGTTTAATAGGGATTAATACAGGATGTAGGCTATATAATGCCCCTTTTCGATTTTAGAATAAAAAAGTAACGCGGTCATAAATTTTTAATTAAATTACAAAAAGATAGAAGGTTGAGTTAATTAAATGTCTTTAAAATAATTTGGAGAAACGTGATGACGAAGTTTTTCAAATGTTGAATTGGGCTGAGTATTTGTAGTGCAGCATGAATTAACATTTTTCATGCTCTAAGACGTTTGGAAATACTATATAATACATTTCGTCATTAAATTAATTATAACTCTTCACTGAACATTAGTAGTTTGCCCCCTAACAATAGACTGATTGCATTACATGATTTTAGATTTCATTACTTATTTAATACTTAAACAAGGGCCAATTTAGCGTAGGAAGTCCCTCCTGGAGGCACTCTCATTTCCTTGTGTTTCGTTGCCCTATTTCATGTATTGTGTATATGTAAATAATTCAAAATCTATACAAAACTCTAATATATATATAATATATATATATCTAGTCTAATATATATATATATATATACGTAGATGTGGTAAAGCGTGTATTTATAAAGTGTAAGTGTGATATATAAGCTATATATATATACATATTGATATGTGATGCATATTGATGTGTAATGCGTCAACATCAGAAGAAAGAAATAAAACTTTTATGGATGTTTTTTCTAATAGAAATATTGAAAACACGAAAATGCTTTCTTTATTGGTCTTGTTTTTCGATATATATATACACTCACTTTTATTTGCACGTGATATATATATACTGCTGGCCTAGTTAAATGCAACACCATGTAGAACTCTAGATATTGCAGGTGTTGCATTTTACTTGGCCAGCAGTATATATATATATATATATATATATATATATATATATATATATATCACGTGCAAATAAAATTGGGAAATTAAATATTTAATTAGAAAATAGAAATCGATAAGTAAACTCGATAATCCAAAATTGCTTTGTTTAATTATTGTCACATCGTTGCTGTACAAGCTGCAATTTTTAATCATCATTTTAATTTTAAAAACAGTCACGTTATCCCGGTCCTGAGTTAATTGGGTTTCTGGTCCCTAAGCTTTCTATATCTGGTGTGGATTTTAGTAGTACCATTCTCCTGCACATCGTATCCTCCTGATAAAAATCGACATCTGTTTAACTTCGTTCTCAAAATTAACGGAAGACAGACAGACGAACAATGGGATATATAGGTTTGCAATCTGAAAATTGCAGCACGTTAAATTATTAAAATATGAAATAAGGTAAATCCACGGTTAAAAATGGAAATGTGTGAAATACATGTTTTAGAATAGATTATACTTTTATTAAATTATATTAAAATAAAAACTGCTATGCGTTGAGATTAATTAAGGAAAATTGACAATTTTTTCCCTGTGTGATAATCAATTATTATAAGTATACTTGTATATTTTGCTCACGACTAGAACGTTTTAGTCCTGAGCAAAATGTAATTGCGTGTAGCATTTTCAAAACAAGTACATGAAATAACATTTGCTTGAAAAAATTAAATTAAACAAATAAATAATTCGTTGTTTTAACTTTTTTTTTTTTTTTTTTGCTTTCTCTCATTAAAATAAACAATTTTGTTGGATAAAGTAGGGATGAAGTTGGCAGAAGTAAATAGGACAAGTATAGTAACCACTTGTATGAAATTTATAATAAAATTTCACATTATTTCATAATTATTAGTTCGTAAATAAAATAATTTATTTTATTTAAAATATATGCTCTCTACCTCAAATTAGTAATCTAGTTTCTTGCACTTATACATCATACTTTTCTGTTAGCTACCGGTCATTTATCTAACTTCTTTCAGATTTCAATTGGAATAGCGTGACTTCCGATTTGCATCAAAGGTTAATTTGGACTTATTGTCGTTAATATTTCCATATCTGGAATTGAATTTTATCTATATAGGTACGAAAACGGTATAGTATGATACCATTCTCGAAATTAAGGGAAGACAGACAGACGAACGACAGTGGGAATTTATTGGTCTACAGTTTTTCAAATTCAGCTCAATGATATTATATAAAACTTTAACATTTATCAACATTTTTATATAATTTTACAAAGTGATTATAATGTTTCCATTCATTTTTATGAAAATTTGGTAAAAAATATTATATGTATTCAGGTCCTATAAAACATGGCGATCCAAGAATAAGCAATCGGTGTTGTTTGCACATGTTTTAGTGGATTAAAGTACACGGAAGTACAAACTTCACCCAGAAATTCAGGAAGTCTGCTCCTATCGGAGTCAATATCAGACTGTTGGTTTCTAAATTCAAGGATTCGTGTAAAGTATACGATGAATAACGTTCCGGGAAACCCAACACGCCAGATAAAACGGTGCAAGGTGTAGAAACTGCAACGTTCGGGAGGAGGAACAACACTTTGCCACCTGCCAAGCAATGTGTCACGATCTCTCGAAGGCTATGGAACAGGAAGATTTGATTATACTTACCTATATGTTAATTTACTCAAACATGCGCAAACCATAGTGATTATATCTTCTTGGATCGGCATGGTTCACACGACTTGCAACATATAATTTTGTTACATTTTCACAAAAATGGAACGAGACTTTATAATCACCATTTATTTTAATTAATAACCTTTTGACTTACCATAGTTGCTTCGTTTATTTTATCAATTCCCAGTATTTGACACGAAACGTAAACAGATGCAGGTAAATCTGTAGGAAAAAATGGTTTAATTCTAAATAATGTAATGCATTAAGTATTAAGTCTTAAGTCTACGCTCAGAAGGATCTGGGATCGATTCAGGACATGATTTTTATGGGTGGTATTCCATTTGCCATTGTCGTTCCTCATCAGTTTCCATGGATAAAGTAAGAAAGGTCCTCGGTGAAGGGAGGACGAGGGATAAAATTACGTATATATTTTAATATTGAATAATAATAATCATTTAAAAAAATAATCTTCCTGGCAATTTTTATTGTAATAATAAATATGTGTGTTATTTTATAAATCTTATAAATACAAGTAATGTCTCTGTTGGCATGGGTAATTTCTACATTCTCCAAAAGAATTTGATTTAAAATAAAATTGTTTAAAAGTTTTTAAATTTCATAAATGTATTAATAAATTTTAAATGTTTCAATAAATAAAATTAATAGAAATTATCATATAATAATCTGAACCAGTTTTAATATATCTAAGAAAAGTTTATAATAATAATATGAAGTATCTTTAAATTTATTAAATATATTAATTCAATNAAGCAATTTACCCATATAAATTATTGTTAATTTACAATAATTATATATATATTTTTTAAATTAATTTATAATATCTAGACATGAAATTCTTGGTCTAACTCACTGCCAACCATTGGTGGAACGTCAGGGCTGTAATCAACAGGAAAGATTTCGGTATCTTCTTTTGCACTTAAAAAGAGAAAACTCTTATAGTGACATTATCACAGTGCAAGGCTGCAGTTCTAATCTTATTCTAATTTTAAAATAAATATAACTTTTGAAGCAGAATCTAAAAGTGCGATTGCTGTTCCTCTACAATTATTTAATTATTCACATGACTTTTATGACAGAGAATGTGAGATCACGTGAATATTGTATACCTCAGAGGGTGTAGTGACATATTATTAATCTCATTTTATCGCAAGGATCAATTTTATACCAAATATATCGTTGTGTATAGTAAGATAAAAAAGAAAATTTGAATTGAATTCGCGCGACTTCTGGTTTACAACGGAAGTTCTTATAGGCCCTATAGTTAGTCGAGTTTCCCCTCTCTAAGCCTTCTATATCCAGTCTTGATTTTCGTGTATTTGTAGGTCTACAATTCTTTTAAATTGCGGCCTAATTAACTATTAAATACTAAATTTATAAATGTAATTGTTGACGTGAATTATTTAGGAGAATGTCCTATATTCGATCAAAAAATTATCCAATAAATTTTATATTTTATAAGTTTAAAAATACTATTATTTATTAAATTGTTTATATTAATATATATAATCTAATCGTTTACTAGAGGATGATAATTTGATAAGTATCGATTAACGCTCTAGGCTCCTTTATTTTTATGAATTATTTACAGTCATAATGCAAAATTGATCAGTAATTACATAGAAACGTTGGAAATAAATAATATTGTAGAAGGCGTTTCACGTAAGATGTTAATTTAATTCAATAACTGGAAAATTGATAAAAATTGACTTAAAAATAAAAATCTGGCCATTCTCCCTACCGAATTGGTGAGAATGTAATAATTTTATCATTTGAAATATATGCTCTCCACCTCAAATTAGTAGGAGCTTGCACCTGTACATCATACTTTTCTGTCAGCGAAAGTGCTGATCATCTAACTGACTCCGTTCTTGAGAGATTAAGGAAAAAAAGACAATCGGACTGATGCCAGTAAGAATTTATAGGACCGCAAATTATGAAAATTGCAGCTCAGGAAGGAAGTTTTCACATATAAGTGTATGCATGCTCTTATACGAGAAAATCGCTTGTCTTCGTGTTTTTTAAATACATGACCCGCTTTCTTTATATGAGCATATCTGAAATATATGTTCGTGCTCTTATGTTATGCCAGCTTGTTCTGGTTTATACAGCTGTTCAGTGAAATGTCTGTGGTAACCATTATTAACATAAAAATCACCCCCCAAATAGTTTCTAATAATATAAAGTTTCTTATAAAATTAGTGAGTGTTTAGTAGTAGT